CACTCAGGCAGCCAAATATATCACACACAAACTGTAACCATTGCACTCAGACAGCCCAATATGTAGTCCCCATCACACCCAGACACCCCAATACATCACGTGCAGTTCCCACTATACTCACACAGCCTGAGTTCAACTGTCACAACCAAGGTATTTATTAGTTATAAAAAAAATGACAACAGTAAAGACTTCAGCTTGTGATATAGTGCAGGGCCAGAGTGCCCTGGAGCCGCTGTGTGAAGTGGCCTTTAAGAATTTGGCCGTGGCGGGGTGCAGATGCGTCACCAAGAGTGTGAGAGAGCACTCTCGCGACTAATGTGATGTTGTCTTTGTTGCCACTGGAAATCTCATCCGCATCTTTTCCTTCCTGCATGGTGCGTGCAAGAGGCTATTTAAAGTCCTGTAAGTGAAATCTAAATGAAGGGGTAAGTCCGATTAATAGTTGGGGTAAGTTCTGGGTGCTGGGGCCTTTCCTGTGAGTACAATCTAAGTGCTGGGTTGGGACCTGGGACAAGTCCTGTGAGTGCAATCTCAGTGCTAGGGCAAGTCCTGTGAGTGCAATCTCTGTGCTTGGGTAAGTCCTGGTTGCTGTAGCAAATCCTGGGAGCGCAATCTGTGTGCTCGGGTAAATCAATATATGCCCCTAGTATATACACAAGGTTATGTCTCCCTGATATACACCCCTGCACAGGGCAATTCAAATAACCTTGTTTACATATTGGGTCCTATATATCACCCTGAGCATGGGGTATATATAAGGGCAATGTGTAACGTATAACCTTGTGTAAATACTAGTGATATATATTGCCCTGGGAAGGGGTATATTTCAGTTGTATCTATAAATAATAATAATAATAATAATAATAACACACTCTTCAAATGTACTTTAAAATGCATGGGTACCCATTTGTGAGCAAGAATATAATGTTAAAGGATGGGGCTGGTATAATGAAGCAATGCTATGTGTGGCAGACCGCCTGGCACCCCAACTGGGTACCTCCACCAAGCGTGCTTCCTATGTGGTCCTCATGGTTTAATAAAACATTTGCTTCTTTTTACACTAAATGTGATGCCTGTGAAATATTTTTTTCTAGTTTGCATTTTTTGGGGACTGAGAATCTCTGCCATGCCTCTCCTCTCAAAGTCTATATTTTTCTCAAACTCTGTGCTGCCAATTAGCCTTTCAACATTTCAAAGGTCATATTCAGATGGCAAGTGAGTCTGTTTTTGAACTGTAGAAAAATTAGAAAGATTTTTTTTTTTTTATTAGTTCAGTTTGGAATGTTGAGATCATTAGATGAAATCACCAAGTCTGTTTCTAAATTCTTGAGTTAACTGAGGTGCACAAATGTTCATTGTGATTAATCACATTGGAAAGATATTTTTAACATACACTAAGTTCTCTTCATTGAACAGCCAAACTGGGGATTGTTTTTTTTTTTTTTAACCAGCTTAGCTATTGTAGCTGACTTTATGCAATTCAGGTGGTTGCTAAAACCCTAAAAACGCTGCCTCTAAGAGAAATATTTTTGTTCACAAGTGACAATTCGAAAAATAAGTATTTCTGTTACCATGAATCATTAAACCTAAGACGTATCTTAAAGGAACACTCCAGGCTCCAAAACAACTTCATCCAAATGAAGTTGTTAGGTGCCAGGAGGCACCCGGAGGCAAAATAATCAATTTCCCTATATTTAATGGGACACTTTAGGCATCCAGACCACTTCAGCTCATTGAAATGGTCTGGGTGCAATTTCCCATGTCCCTTAACCCTGCAATAGTAATTATTGCAGTTATTGAGAAACTGCAATAATTACTATCCAGGATTAACTCCACCTCTAGTGGCTGTCTACTGGACAGCCATTAGAAGGCTTCCTGGTTTGAAACAGACCTTTGGTCTGCATGAGGACCTGCAGCAGATTTTCCCCCATATGGGAAATCCTAATGCGAGTGCGGCCATTGCCGTCAGCCAACAGGGGAGCAGCATGGGCGGACCCTGATTCAGGTAAGTGACTGAACATGTTGTGGTTGCGAGGGACGGGGTACTGCAGGAGCCTATAGTGCCAGGAAAACGGCTATGTTTTCCTGGCACTATAGAATCCCTTTAACTCTGAAGTTGTCTCCTGTGCTGGTCTCAGCTCCTCCCTGAAGCCATCTGACTTTTGAAATCTCACTAACATGAAGCAAGATTAGCATAGATTAAATTGTTATGGTGCCTATACTGTCCCTTTAAAATTGTTAAAACATTGAAGCATTGAGGAGTAAGATTTGAACAGGGCAATGTGGTGTGAGAGGTTTGCCCTGGCACAGTTAATAGAAGCTTTTACAAACTCCTTTACATATTTAGACAAAGTGTACTACCAAAATTCACGATTTAGACAGCATGCTATCAAAAAGCCAATTCAAAAATACTGCTACCGAGTAGAGTTGAGCGGACACCTGGATGTTCGGGTCCAGTGGGTTCGGCCGAACTTTGAAAAAAAGTCCGGGTTTGGGATTGAACTTGACCCCGAACCCGAACCCCATTGAAGTCAATGGGGACTCGAACTTTTGGGAACAAAAATGCCTCTAAAAAAGTCCTGGAAAGGGCCTGGAAAGGGCTAGAGGGCTGCAAAAGGAAGTAAAATGGGGGTAAGAGTAGGACAAGTGCCCTGCAAACAAATGTGGATAGGAAAAATAACATTAAATACCTAAAAATTAAAAATACAGCTGAGCCATAAAATAGCACTAGATGGAATCTTTGATTTTAGCTTTGGAAGAACAAATCAAAATCTAAAGCATGGCTGTCAGGAGGATCAACAGAATTATCCATTTGAGAGAGGGTTGGAGTGCAGGGTATTCTCTTTCATTGTTCAAACTGAGCTCAACTCCTGATGCATGGAGAAAAGGCCTTCACAAGCCTCTGCTATTGTGTACATAGTTTATACTAAGTGACCCATAGGTTGAGGAGGCGGTGACCATGGCGGTGTAGGTGGAAGCGGCGGTGGAGGAGGAGGAGGTAGCCAACACTGTTTTTTTTTTTTTAAATTAGGGTTGTGACGGTAGTAGAAAATATCCCCGTCAAGCATTCCCTTCTTCCCATAAAAGAAAAGCACTCAATATTCCATAAGCAGAAATATCCCTGGAATCGCCGAATAATCCACACATGAGCCAAAGCTTAATGCTGGAACAAGACTGATTTACTGGCACACAGAACTCACAATTTATGCAACACAAAACTCCTCCTCTTGGCCAGGCTAGATAATTGAGTTTCTACAATACACAAAGCTCAATTATCTCAATTTATAACAATTTCAGAAACATACTTTTTATAAACTCCACTATCGCCTGCTGCTGCTCGCACAGTATCTCCAGCATGTGCAAGGTGGAGTTCCACCTTGTGGGCACGTCGCATATGAGGTGGTGAGCGAGAAGGCTGAAGTTACGCTGCAGCGCAGAGAGGCGAGCAGCAGCAGGGTGAGAACGCCGAAAGCGCGCACAGACGGCACACACTTTCTGGAGCAGCTCTGATATATATGGGGAATTTCTGCACCACCAAATTCAGCACATGCGCCAGGCAAGGGATGTGCATCAAACCGGCTAGGCCCAGAGCTGCTATGAGATTTCACCCATTATCGCACACCACCAGGCCGGGCTTAAGGCTCAGTTGCAACAACCACTCATCGGTCTTTTGTTCCATTACCGTCCACAGCTCCTGCGCGGTGTGGGGTTTTTCCCCCAAACATATGAGTTTTAAAACAGCCTGCTGTCGTTTCCCCCTGACTGTGCTGACGTTGGTGGTGAAGGTGTTACGCTGACCGGATGAGGAGGTGGTAAAGGAGGAAGCCAAGTAGGAGGAGGAGGCAACAGGAGGCAAAGCTGTGTACCCAAATAAAGATTGTATCCTGGAACTGTGTCCCATCCGGTTACTGGGGAAATGGGTCTGACCTATTCTAATCAAAGGGGATAACCATCAGTTACCCAGGTCCCGCTTCAATTGGTGACAAGCAGTGGGATTCCATGTCCCTGCCAAAAGATCCATGGACTACAGTGCCCTAAAGCGACCTACACTGCAGGACTTGTGTGGAGCCAGAGTAATAATGCCTGGTGGGCGTAACAAGGCCGAATTGACTGCTGCGCTCATGGAGGATGACCAGGCATGCAGTGAGACAACGAACCCCAGCCAGGGGCCGGAGATGAGGAGGAAGTGCGCAAGGAGGTGGAATGGCGCCTGGCATATTACCGAGAGCCGCCCTCAGAGGAGATTGTTAGCAGGACCTTTTTGGAGGTGCAAGCCTATGTCCTTGCCAATAGACAGAGGGCGACCTCCATGAACCCAGATGAAGGAAGAAGGGAGCAAAGGGCGTCGGGAAGCACAACCACCCTGACCCACAAGCTACCATACAATGCCTTCAAAGAGTTCAAGGAAGCAGAAGAAGGCATCGATTACTTTTTACAAGACTTTGAGCGCCAGTGCCTACTCCAAGACGTGGACCCCAGCGACTGGGTCACCATCCTGGCCAGCAAACTAGTGTGGAAGGCAGCGGATATTTACCGGGTTGTACCAGAAGAGCAGATCAGAGACTATCCCTTTTGTTACACAAATCCTCCTGGCCCGGTATGCCCCCGAGCAATACCGATGAAAGTTTAGGGAGACCCGGAAAAGGGAGAAGGACTCCCATGCGGAGTGGGCATGCTGCACCACAAGGGCCACCCAGAACTAGCTCAACTCCATCAAGCCAAGTTCCTGGAGGAGATCACCCAACTCGTCATGCTAGAGCACTTTTTCAATGGGCTCCCCAACGACACGGCTGGTGATAGACCGCCAGCCCCAGACCCAAGAAGTATTGGTAAGAGCTGCTGAAGCTAGCTCACGATATCCCCTTGGCAGGGCATTTGGGCAGGAGACGGACAGTGTCTCGGCTCACCCACAGCTTCTTCTGGCCAGGCATCTCTCAGGACAGGGCACAGGGCCCCACTCCATCCCCTACCTATTAGTGAAGATCCGTTCGGCAGCATAGCTGTCGACATTATAGTTGTGCAGGCACTTTGGTGACTCTAGAGAACTTTGGGCCAATTGCATGTCCCCGTGACGGCGACTTTGCATTTGGATGTCTGCCCTATCAACTTTCAATGCCACCTTCTGCACCTACCATGGTGACCACGGGTAACGGGGAATCAGGGTTAGATTCTGGAGAGGGAGTCTGAGAAACGGCTACCACATCCAAGGATGGCAGCAGGCGCGCAAGTTACCCACTCCCGACGCGGGAAGGTTGTGACGACAAATAACAATACAGGACTCTTTAGAGACCCTGTAATTGTAATGAGTCCACGTGAAATCCTTTAACTATGATCAATTGGAGGGCAAGTCTGGTGCAGAGCAACTGACCTGTGCGTGCTCCAGCTGAAACTCCACTATCGCCTGCTGCTCGCACAGTCTCTACAGCATGTGCAAGGTGGAGTTCCACCTTGTGGGCACGTCGCATATGAGGTGGTAAGCGGGAAGGCCAAAGTTATGCTGCAGCGCAGACAGGCGAGCAGCAGCAGGGTGAGAATGCCAAAAGCGCGCACAGCCGCTACAGTGAATGTCACATCCTCTTCCAAGTTGCGGATCAGTCTGGTGATGGCTTCTGGTATCCAGTACTCTTTTTACTGAAGCTGCATCAGGGTCCTGGTATGTGGCTGCACAAACGCTGGTGCTCAAACGCTGGTGCTTACCCTGCACCAGACACTGCTAATCCATTCCTAACTTCAACGTCAGGCATTCTGGGTCCCGGTCACCGGACTGCTGCCTTCAATGTGAAACTTTGAATGGCTCGTTAAATCTGGTACGAATTAGAACTTTGCAGTTTTGGTTCGCTCAACTCTATTATGGATCCTTTGATCACTCCA